ACACAATCCGTTACATCGAATCGAGATATGTCGCGCAGAAGTGTGAAAGCATTAAGATGGATATGTAAATCGAAAAATCGCAATCAGCCCGCATTGCACGGTCAAATCGGCATAATGTATAATGAGGATAAAAAAAAAAACAAGAAAACTGGATTGTGTAAGGCGGGCACTTAACGGGCGTACAACGGGATTTTATCCCGTGAAGACGATGTAAAGGCGATTATTTTTAAAAAGACGACGTAAAACGCGATGTAAGAGCGCGTCACAGAAATTATCGCTGGCTCTTTGATGACCGAAAGAGATCCGAACTTTCACTCTGTTTATTTTTTACGGTGCTTTTGTCTACGCACGTTAACATATCCATAGAGACACACATTGATTTACAAATAATATAATAATATATTCGCGAAATACTGCTGGCGAGAGTTTATGAAATTCTAAGCATTATTCTTTCGTCGGATGTTTATTTGAACTTTTGCAAAAGCTCGATTAATCGACATAAAGAATAGTTAAAAAATAAAAATTTATTTTAGTTGCTTCTGCACGCACAATGAATAATTTAGTGATAATAATCATGCGATAAAATTTTTTACTTAAAAAAATTTTCAAATAAATTTATAATATTATACATATTGAATTTAATTTTTGTAATCTAAACATTTTTATTTGCTTGTTTGTGTAAGTATTAAAATATTATAACTGTAATGGGTACTATCACACATATTTAATTACTATTGTATATAACTTGCAAAATAATTTGCTTGAACTATTCTACGAAACGTTAGCGTATATTATAATAAATTTATTTGGTTGATGCATTTTGTTTGTAGGTATATTACACTAATTAATTAAGATTATTGCGCCATCTACATGTAGATAATATCAAACGGTCGATCACAGTATACAGTTGAAAGTTCGCCTGCGTATATGTTTCTCGCGGTATTTTAGTGCGTTAGTATTGCATGTTATCAGGAGAATCAAGGTAAACTGTATTCATATTGTGAAATAATACTTATTGTTAGATACAGAAAATTTTGAGTTTTTAAAATTTAAAAATTAAAATATTAAATGTTTTTCAAAATTAAAATTATTTTTTAAAATTAAATTTATCTATCTAAGCTATCTGAATTTTTAAATTTAAACATACAAACTATCATACTTAATCATAAAAATCAGATTTTGTCATAACTATAGCAGAATTCGAAATTGTAATATAAATTATAATATAAAAATTTTTGCATAATAATTGTTTCTCTTAATTTTTTTATACATAGCAATTTTAGATAAATATTTTGGCAAATTGCAAATAATTTTAGTAGAACATTAATTTTTATACAAATTAATAAAGAAAATTTTTTATTAATTAGGATTATTGTTTTGTTATTTCTAACTGTATGCATTTTTGAGAAAAATCAATAATTTAAATTATGTGCTAACTTATTTTAAAGGTGTATACTAGATTTTTATTAAAGACGAAATTAGGAACAATATATGTTTATCTCGTAATAATCAAAATTTAGAAATTTTTTAATAATTGTTCTACGCTGTGGAAGAATTTATGATTATGCTATTTTTAAAAGATTGTTGATTAGATTAGCTTTACTTGATAATTTATTTTAATGCTATGCTGACCTCAATATATGTGATTTACGATGTATGTGGTTTACGAATCAGTGAATAGAAAACTAATCTCAATAAGCAGACCATTAAGGATCATTAACTTTCAGCAAGTTGCATCGTTTTGATATAAAACTAGAGTTTATGATTATACGATAAGAATATCAATCAAACGAGAGAATAAAATTTATAAACGTATATGACATTAATTCTCAAATTAAAATTTTCAATTCCAACATAATTTTTTGAGTTATTATCATCTTTTTTAATACTGTAAGATTATGATGAGACTCGAGAACGTATATTATTAAGACGGTATAGAACGAGTCGAAAGAGAGTATTGGCGTTTACCAGACCTCTCGTATAATGTCAGGAAATATGTCAGGAAAATAATGAGAGCAGAAGGAAAAGGGTACCTCGGTGCATAAAGTGCTTTGTTATTGTTAAAGAATAAATCACTTCCTAGATCTCTATAAATATATTCAAGCATATCCTGTTTAATCGTAAGTCAATACAGACAACGGCATTCATATATACATTTTATACCTTTCTCCGGCTTTGCTGAAAAAGTAGCTTATATGCAAAAAATATTGTTCTTTTATTAAATCTTTGTTTTGCAACATGTTCGAATTATAAGTCAAGTGAAGGTAGGAAGTAGTACCTTTTCCTACGTTCACTTCCGCGTCTCTGTCTGTAAGCTTAAATTTCAATCTTTTTATATTAATCACGTTTTGATCTAATTTTTTATATGATCGACGTCATTAAATTAAATTGAATCAGATAAAATAAATAGAGATGTCTTAATTGTAACATTTTTAAAATAATTTACTCAATAAAAAATAATTTTAATAATTTTATAAATATTAAATAATTTAATAATTAAAGTAATTTAAATCGACCTTTCCGACTGGCAATATCGGAAAGACGTTATATATATTGCCAGTCAGGTCGATTTAAATTACTTTAATTGTTATTCTATACTCTGGCGAAAGAAATTTATTATTAAATAATTTAATTAGTAAATTATTTAATTAATGGAAAACAATTTAGTATGCTAATTTCATACATATTTCTATGCGTTTCATCATGAAGAAATGGTTTAAGACTGGAAAAAGGATATTAAAAAATTAATTTTTGAACTTTTGTTATACATACTATATTTTGATTATGTAATTATAGAATTATTAATAATAAAATTTTAACGTAGTAGATTGGTACTTTGAACGATGAAGCGAGGCTTTAGAATGAGAAGAACAATAACCGGTTCGACACAAAAGCAAAAGTAATATTATTTGCACGATCCTCTCTTTCTCCTCTCACTTTCAATGAAAGTCGGTAAATTCATTCACTGTGATTGTTCATAATAACGGCACGCCGATCCACAAATTGTAATTAATGTCTACTTCTTTAATGATTGCAGTTTACTTTGCATTAATAAATGCGCAGATGAGTTCATCAGAGATTGCTCATGTAATCTGAAAATATAGTCAATTAATTGCAATTAATAAATTTAGGTCCTTAATTGTAAAAGACATTATCTTCGCTTGTTTCTCACAATAGTCATAAATTAATAATTTGATTTGTTTCAACTCGATTTGTTCTTATTACCTGATTTTATTTCGCACTTTTGCGGTTTTGGCGGCTTTATGATTATGTAGATAGTGGTTTCTGTTTCATGATTCTGTCCTTTGTTGTTTTTATTCTCGCGATATAGATTGATAGTATAATCTTCTGTAACATAAAGTGTTTACACGCGTAAACGATTTGCAATCATTGGAGAAAGCATGCTCGCTTTTCTATATACTTACTAATAAAAATAAAATAAATAAATGCAATAAAATTATCCTGAAACCAGAATAGACTATAACGTTCTTAATCATTATTAACGCAGAAATATGACACAATATAACAGTCATAAATTATAATCAGTAGATAAGTGTAATCAGAAAGATAAACCATTGAAATTATTGTGTTATAATAACTAATAATTTAAAATAAAAATATTGGTTTTTTTATTTTTATTTTTGTGAGATAATAGGTACGCTATAAATTTGGATTATACATATATTTATAATATTATTTATATGTGATAAAATAATGTTAATTTAAAAAAATATCAATATATAAAAATTTTTTTAAAACATGAAATTTATAATTGATAAAGTAAAATAAGGTAAACACATTAAAGTAACATAAGAAAATATTAATTGTATCACAATAATACATTGTATACAACAATAACAATTGTAACATATATTAAAATATATAAGAAAATACTCTTTTTATATAAATTGCAGAAAATTATTTTAAAGATGCATTTTTCTTCTATAAACTCTGTTATAAATAAAATAAATATTACTGTCGCCACTGATTGACAATGAACTTGCGTGTTTTTTCGCGCGATCAAATGCACTCTTATGATATTCACGTATGGTGAATGCCCAAGTGGAAACCGATGAACTAGGTCGCAGGCCCTCTTACTCTGTAAGTTTCATCGCCACCTTTCGGTGATAGTCCTTTCACTCTCGTTTGCATTACGCTCGTTTGCTTCTGAGAAGACATTGATCGCACGTTCTCCACATTATGTGTGCATAACCGGAAATTGAAAACGCGAGTTGTGTGTTGAAATTATTACTTCCTATGCAAGTGTGCTTTTGACTTTCGCATGAGATTATCTTATAACTACGAAACTACGGAGGAACTACTGTCAGTCACAATATATATCCATGAACTCTTCTTCTGCTATTATATATATATAATAAAGTTATATATGATATACATAATATGATATACATAATAAATAATATACATAATAAAATATAATTTAAATTAAATTTTTTATATAACATACTATTTATAAATATAAATATAAATTTTATATCCTCTTCTAAATATTAAAAATTTATATGTATTTTATTTATATAATATATGCGTTATTTAATGTAATCCAAATATTATATTATTATTTAGATTAAGAAAAAAATATAAAAAAATATTTTTAATTTCTCAATTTTTTATGTCGTCGAGTTTTCCATTGGCGAGGGTGTGCCTTTTCGTGATCATCGTGACTCTCGATCTCCGGTTCATGTTAAGACTTCTTATCCTATTGTCTTTCCTTTTCATCGCGCCCATCAAATCCTCGGCCGACTGGGTCATTCAACTCGCTTAGTCGTGCGTGTGGCCTAATTGCAAAAAGGAACAATTGCAGGAAAGAACAATTGCAAAAAGCGGAGAAGAGGAGACGAGATCGACGGCGAAAGAGATCGGCCAGTCGGAAAGAGAGTGAGTGAGTGTTTTCTTCGTGGTGAACTGATCTATGGTGAAGGTCCTCGTATATAAGCCACCGTGTAGACGATAATAGTCAGTGCGGAAACACCACCGGATCTCGATTGAGAACCACAAGATGACGATCATGTTGCAACTCGTAAGTTTCCATCGCGGTCGGAAATTTCAAGATCATGAAGATTTCAGAACGTCGCATTTCTTCATTTCTTCACGAGGTTTCCGAATCACCGGCTTTTGTGATACGTGTATTCAATAGTGATCTCGATAGATTTTTTGAGAAGAACGCACGAAAACGATTTACGAACAACTTCCACATTTTTCTCTCGTATTGAGATCGCTTGAATATATGACCGTGTTAAAATTTAGAAGCACATAAGATAATCGTGAAAATGTAATTGAAATTTGTGTATTGAAACATCTGTTTTATTATTGCTGTATCTTGTTAAACTGTGATTGTATTATAAAGATAGATAAAAGTTTAATTTTGAGATTTAAGAACAAATTAAAAGTATAAAAGTTACAATTTTTACATCATATATATATATATAACAGTACAAAAATAACGGTCGTTATTTATATATATATATAAATAACTTAACTTAAGTTTTATATATATATATAAATAACGACCGTTATTTTTGTACTGTTTATTCAAATTAGATAAAAAATTTTAATTATTAATTAAACACAAAACAAATTTTGACTTAAGTTTTACTTAAATCTTGATCATTGAAATCTATCTATATTGAGGCAATTGCCGCGGCATACGTTCAATCGCTGATTATCTGTCAGCCGAATCCGTTACGCTTTCATGACGACGTTACACCTTTGCAGTTTTTATTCACGCTGGTAGTGATGACGGTCACGGCGAGACCCTCGTTCTTGATACACGAAGGCCACGGTCTTGGGACAGTTGAGCCCAAGCTCATCTCACAATCGGTACATTTGCACGAGGTGCCGACTAAGGTGATCAAGATCACCAAAACAGTAGCCATCAAGGTTCCTGTGCCGTACCCCGTTAAGGTGAGCAGTTTTTTTTTTAGAAAACGAAAGCGCTTGCAGTTAATTAACGATTGAAAGTATTGAGGAATAGCTTGACATTTTATAAATCCTTAACAAGGATTAAATTTGTTATTTAAATGAATTGAATATCGAAATGTAAAGAAATCGCTGTAAAAATTATGATATCAAATTTGTAAAATAGTAAAAAATGAAATAAAATAAAAAACAAAATATGATAAAAATTCTTTTTTTAATAAATAATATGTACGCATATATACTATACATGATAATAAATATATAAATATATAATAACTTTACATAGCTGCAAAGAATGAAAATACTTAAAAATAAAAAAATGTTTATTAAATTTTTTCTTATATAAAAATGCGATCAAATTAATTTTCTATAGTTATATTTATTTTTACACATTCTATAATATATAGTAAATTATTTATATAGATTATATTTATAATGTAATAAAAGGGAGAGAGAATAATAATTTGTATTATTTTAATATTAAAGTATGTAAAAACATATCGTATTATAGATTTCTGATTTTTCCTCATACATCATGTATAAATGTTTGCGAATGACTGATCGATTACAGTTTTTTCCGTTTTTTAGGTACCTCATCACATCCCATTTCCGGTGCCGGTAAAACATCCCATTGCGGTTCCAGTACCGCAGATAGTGAAAGTGCCGCAGCACGTGCCAGTGCCAGTGGAGAAGCACGTCCCGGTGGAACTGCATCAGCAGGTATTAACTGCTAATTTAAAAATCTTATGAGCTAATAATATTTTTTCAGAATCTGTAGAATCTTTCTATATAGAATAAGTATATTATATTTTTTTTTGTTAAAATCGTAATCCAAGGAAACTTTCGAGACATGTAACGACTTGCACCAAGAATTTATTTTATAAATTACTTTATAATTACACTTTTATTACATGTATATTGTTATAGAGAGATATATGTATTTATATTTTTTATATTTTATATTTATGCTATATGTATAAGAATTGGTTTTTGATTGGTTTGCATATAACAGCAGATAGAAGAAATTAATAATGATGGCTTTCAATTAATATTAAAGTTATAAATATAGTTAATTTAATTTAATTTAGGTGCCGTTCCTGATATCTAAAGCGGTGCCTGTGCCACATCCGGTCCCCGTACCACATCCGGTTACTTTGACCAAGCCGATCTTCATCCCGGTGCCGAAGGCGATCCCGATTCCGCAATCGAGCCACGATGAAGGCGGTATTTCAGTTGGAGCCGGAGGCGGAGGCGAAGGTGATCATGCCAGCCACGAGACAACCAACTACAACACTTACACCTCTCAAGGCCGTGAAACCTACGATCAGCAGAGTAGCGGCCAGCGGGCCCAGTTCCAGTCATCCCAGCGCGACTACTCGGCGAATCATTAGCTTTCGAAATGCGACAGCTCGATTGATTACAACAGTGTGCGAGGTCTGGTGCGACTGAAAGGAAAAGTAAATCGAGAAGTAAATCATTGACGTATGATACACGCGAGCGGATCACTTTGAAAGCGGTTTAAGCGAAATGATAAAGGGCTTTGACAAGTAAAATACCAGTACTAGATAACAGGGCCTTTTTGGAAACTTTACTCATTCCACTTTCAATGTTGACGGCTCTATATATATAAATATAAAATAATATTTCTTAAACTTAACTAGATATCACTCTCGAAGTATTAGATTTATAGAAAAAAGAAAGAAGAATTAGAAGAATTTTATGCTCAAAGACTCGTAAAAAGTATATATTGATATTGATTATAAAAGTTTAGAATTTTTATTCTTTAGATTCGGATACCTACTTTAGGAAATATTAGATATGTTTGTACACATAATTATGGGGTGCAATTCGTTAGCTACTACTGATAAAAAAAAGATGACGCTAATTTCTTTCCTACAGTAATAATAATCGGGAGTAGTAATAATTAATTTCTATCAAATTTAATAGTTGAATGTAATAATAGAGACAAAGTTGTGGCGACTGTAACACAAATATTCGCGAATTTTGCAATTCGTCTGAATTAGATGCCCTGCAAATAGCTTCAAAAGAAACAAAAGAACAGAATAATGTGCTAATGATTTTTGACGCTGCTATTTCTGTCAACGTGACATATTTTAATTATAAAATTAAAATTCTTTCAATCATTGATGTCTGAAGAATAAGTTGAGATAGCGTATTATACATTCTTGTATATACAGACAAGTATAGGTTCTCTGAAAGATGTTGAGTTTTTGTTTTTGCTACTTGATGTTATAGTTTTTTGTTATGTGAGATTGTTTTTTCTTTTTTTTTAATGTTGTAGTATTATTTTTTAATAAAATATTTATGTATACACGCTGGAGCGCCGTCTCTTCCTTATTCCTCATGTTTGTAGAATCTGTAGTTTCTCGCGAAGCGCGATACTGCCGGCGTATAACCATAAATATCAGATTGCGACACTTTTTATTGGGCAGGTGTGCAAGTAGCGTTACGAGTCGGACTTGCCCAACGGGATCGCTTACAATATGTGCGTATAGAGAGTACGTTCCGTGCGGCGTGCGCTCTGCATGCAAATTTTATTAATCGCGTGTTTAACGTGTCCTCGTTCTCCATTTAATGGACATTTCACCGCCGCCGCGCCGCCGCGTTCATGTAACCATTTCTCATAATACAGCCTTAAATTTCCCTTTCGGGCCCGTGGATTATACAATTACGATCTTCGTTTTGTAATCTTGCAAGAGATTGTTCACGTAATCAAAAGCTCAAATTTTTCTCGTTATAAGTTATTTGTCGCGTTAATATTTTCGATATATCGATTATCTTACATAATATTCAATACTAACAATAAGCAAAAGCTATATAAATAAATAAATTAATAAGTGAATAAATTTGAAATACAAAATCTAAAAATATATATAAAGAAAAACAATTTTTTGATCTTTTTTTATGCTTATGCGTTTCTCTACAATATTTTTATTCACATTATGCGTGAAGCAACAAATATTTTCAGCAATTTTCATCAAAAGAAGAATATATTATTATTTTTATGAACAATAAGAGGTAATAATGAGAATACGAGTGCTTCATGAGAAAAGATTTATTTCAATGATGGACAATCAGTATAATGACGTTATAGGTAGAAACATAGACCTAAGTAGTCACACTTGATGCTTGCGAGCACCACTCGATCCTTTTTTGTCGTGGAAATGTCTTTTTGTTTTTTTTTTTATTTAAAATTAGAGGACGCTCTTCTTTTCCAGACACTCATTCTCTCTCCTTCTCTCCCTATCATACAAATGTCCAAAAGAATTCGACATGAAAGACTCGCGAAAATTGTCCCCCAATATCCGAAACGAGAGGTATTCACTTTAACCACACTCATCATCGACGAAGAAGAATATATATTAACGTACATTAATATATATAGATATAGATATATATCTTTCTTTGGGAGCGCTTTCTTAAAGAAGGTGGTCACTGAAAGCTCTGAAAGATCCACGCGGTCCAAGTGATGCTTCGCGCTGATGATGTCGAAGAGCGTCGCCCTCGGGACTGCCATTTTACCATCCAGAGTATCCATAGGGGATACCGCTGTAACCGCTGTATCCGCTGTATCCGTTGTATCCGCCTAATCCGCTATATCCGCCGTAGTATCCATTGTATCCAAGACCGGAGTTCAGTTTCGCGTAGACGATCGGCTGCGCGACGGGCACCGGCACGTGTTTGACGACCGGGACGGCGTAGGGCTGGGGTACCTTGACGGCATACGGGGCGGGAACTGGGACCTTGACTGGATAGCTGACGGGAACGGGCACGGGGCGGTCTACTGCGACAGGAACATGCTTGGTGACCTCAACTGGGTAGGGTTTGGGCACTTGGACTGGATACGGGCGGTCGACGGGCACGGCGTACGGCACCTAGAAGAAAAAGAATATCTTTGACTATCGGTGAACAAGATTTTGAATAAATTTACTTTCCGGTCCGTTTCCATCATATTTGTATTAAGAAGATATTGCATTAAGAAATAAGCAAAGATTAGGAAATATATTATAATATGAGGTTTAGTTTCTTATAATTTATTTTGGCTTGTTGGTTGATTAATGAAGCTAAACTTTATACTCTACTCAATTAGCAATTTAAACTATTTTTTGCTACTCTATCATCCACTTTAGTATTCGATACGAAAAACACTGTGAATTTCATTAAGATGCAAATGTATGTGATATAGATTTAATTTTTTTTTGTTATTGTGGAAGAGATCTGGATCAAGGTGACTGAATCACAAGACAACGCAAGAGTATGAAACGAAGACCTCGCACTTCTAATCACGCTCCAATTGTCACAGTATATATATCTTTCTCTTGTGCGATCGTTAACTTTAGTGTCGTAGAAATGCATACGTTTCGAAAGTCTAGTTACCATAGTTTATGTACATAGATCCCAATTATATTTCATTTTAGAAACTAACCGTATGCACTTCATCAAGAAACTTCTTGATGAAGCAGAAACTTCTTGAAAGATAGATTCCTTCTGCATGTGAAAGAGGGATTCGTAAAATTTGTAGAACTTGAACTTACACCAAAAACGGGTATGCAGCAACATTAAAAAATTGATAAATAAAGATGTCGAATTAATAATAATCCATTTATGTTGGCACACTTAAGAGATTGAAATTATGTAAAAAATTGTAATTGCAAAATAACTTTCACCTATATCATTAGAAAAACAGATAAATATCGCCTTTAATCAATTTTCTTACTGAGAGACATAAATGTAGCTATTATTTCTCTGAGTCATTTGCTAATTGCTTTGCTTTCATCTAATTGCGCTTTCCAGTAAATTGATTCCCAGAAATGAAGCTTCTGCATTTATCTTTTTCCGTTAGTAGCGAGATATGATTAAGCCTTATCGAAGCAAGAAGATGGAAAAGAGCTGTACTCGCGGATGCTTTTCACGAAATCTTGCTAACTAATTTTCACACGTGTAATCGCGAATATTAGTGATTCTAATGAGAAGATCGGGAATGGAAAATAGTGAATATTGATACCTTAACTGGGACCGGGACGTGTTTCTCGACGGGTACGGCGATGGGTTGGGGCACGGGTACAGTGACTTCCTTCGTCACGACGGTATTAATACCATGGTTGAGGCCGATCGCGGGAATGGACGAGTACGTGTTCAATCCACCGAGACCATAACCAAGACCACCAAGATTGTAGTCCAAGCCTCCGTAGCCCAAGCCTCCATAGCCCAAGGCTCCGTAAAGGCCTCGCTTATCCTTCTTCGTCTCTACTTTCTTTGTCTCATCTTTCTTCGTTTCTTCGGCGAAAGCGAGCGCCACCAGGGCGAAAAGAACGATCACCTGTAAATCAAAGAGTTATATGCTTTGTTTTTTAAAGAATTTGTAAAATTATATATTGTGTGTGTGATTGCACACACACACACACATAACAACATTAATTCTCTAACTTATTTTAATATGACCCTGAAATTGTACAATAATATATAAATGTATTTTATAATTCAATTAGAACAATCAAGATCAGAAAGAATAAAAGATGAATTTTTTTCAAACTTGATATAAAGTCAAATAATTGAATTAAAAAATATATTAAAATTATTTACATGAAAAATAAAAACGTAAAAAGAATTAAAAAATTGAAAAATAAAAGTAAGAACAATAATTTGACAATAATAGTTGAAAAATATGTTTGTTATCTTTCTGTGTCTATATTATTAAACAAAAATTTCAATCTAATTAAAATCTATTAATTAAAACTACATTAATTTAAATTAATAAATTTAAAATAAGAGATTTACTGTAAGTATTCTTCGTTTATATTTTTTGAATAATTTGTTCAACTATACAAAGTCTTTTAAATTTTATATTAACAGTTGCAATTAGACAGTTGCAAAATCGTCTATTTTCTGCAATGAACTGAATGTATCAATTTTCTTGAGAGAACGGTTCACCCTCGTTGTAACACACGATCGGTTTTTTCTAGATCTTTCAGATCTTTTCGATCCTCCGGTCGATTTCTCCGCCAAATCAATTTTTATGAATAAACTCTCGTATCCGATTATACCTTGGCGTTCATGATGCTGCACGAGTTTCGGACTTGGTTCGTCGAATTTGCGACTGATGAGTACGATGAAGATCCCCCTGCTTTTATACGATAAACCCTCAAGGAGAGACGGCATGGAGAGTGAGGTGGTGGGCAACCGGGCCTACTGCCGAAACGCGGTTAGGTGAAAAGAAACCGAAACCGGGTCCCGCGAGTAGGGGACCGCCGAAAAACTCGCACCCGCGCGACTCTTCTCGCCGCTCGTAAGAAAGACTCTTGCGCAAATGCACCACCTCGCACGCGTCGAAACTCATAGCGTTAAGTCTCTTTTATCGGCTCATGGGAAATCGTAGAAAAGTTTGAACCTTAATTTATAATAAATAGATTGATAAATTATAGAATTTAATTAATATTTACTTGATAACTCAAATTTAATGTTTCTATATTTTTATATCTCGTAATCTTACTCATCTTCTTACTCTACACAACTTCAAAATTTTGTATAGAATTATTTTATTAAGAAAACAATTTTTTACTAGTAACTAAAGAAATTTAGATTATTGTACTATATTTTAATTGTTCACATTTTCAGCCAAGTTTCAATTAAATTTTTTTTATGTATATTTTTTTTATTATTTTACGTCATTAATCTTACGTCAAATTTTACGTGGCGTAAGGAGATTTTTATACACCACGGTATTGCTAATTAAGGCCCCGTGCCGATTCAATTTTTGTGGATCTTTGTTTTGCGATCGTGATCGCACCGGGTGTTCTCTCAATCATCTGGTTGTGCAATTGCACGGCCGATTCCGTAATTGAAGTCTTACGAGAATGAGAAATAAATGATGAGCATAGCTCTCGACTAACTATGGGTAATAATTGTCTGTAAGCAAAATTGTAAGTCGTGTGAATCAAGTTAGTTCCACCCATACAGAAGGTAAAGTTTAAATTCAAGCATAATAGAAATAAACAAATATATAATAATGTTATTATACGTACCTCTCAAGTTTTTTTAAAATGTGCTATTTAATATTAAATTTTTTTTATTATATTAAAATATTCTCTTTCTTTGTAACAAAAATTTAAAAATTTAAGTTTTTTCTTAATAATATATTTTATGATTTATTAATTATTAAATATTAATAGTAATTTAGCAAAAAATTATTTACAAATATATTAAAATATAATTATGTATTGTACGTTATATAACTATGACCTAATTGTGTGTGTGTATACTTTTTGGTAATTTTAATATAAAATTATATAGCAGCGTGTTAAAAAAGTGTTATAAAAGATATAAAAGATCACTGTTTAAGAGATTTTAATGTGAATTACTTAATTACTTGATAAAAATGACACAACAATATATTGCGCGCATTGCAGGATATTACATTTGGATGCCCTCCCGTTCATAAATCATTGCGTCGTTTATTACCATGTAACAAGACCATGTCTCATTTTCTTCTTGAAGTCGGCGAGAAAAAGCGACAGGCATGAAATACGCGTTTGAGAGATCAGATCTCATAAATTTTAAAGAAAAGTGAGAAAACGCTTAAGGAGAATCGATTCCATGGCTCTTCTGCAATAAGTAAATACAAAAAAGTCGTCAAATGCAAAGAGAGATTAATCATCTTTAACAGAAATCATACAGAAAATAATATAAAAATTAGTCTTTTAATGTTAGTCATATAACACTAGTTTTTTTATTTTACGAAAAAGCGTTTCGTATATAATCTTTGTTGTGCGCAAAAACTATAAAATATTTTTAAAATTTTGAATATTTTGAATATAAATGTTATAGAAGCTATTCAGTTAAAATACTTTGTGTTCACAGTCAAAATTCTATATATAATTTACGTTTATTTTATTGTAATTACATTCCATATTGCAAAATTGGGCGGCTGTCGCCGCCAGTCTCTTCTTTTGTTCCATGCTTTTCGCGAGGTGTTTATGGAATTTATGAATCTTATGGAACCGGCCTGATTCTCTTCTTTCCAGGTTGAACCGTGCTATTAACGAAAGTGGTCCGACTTTTGGACAGCTTCGCGCAATTTCGTTGCTCGTTAATTGGCTCCACCTGTCTGGCCAGTTCCAGAAAACTTGAGGAGAGCGTGATCATTAAAACACATTTCTCATAGATGAGCGAATATAGCTGTTTACGTGTTGACGAAAATTATTGCGCCAACGGATCACTTATCCTCGTTACAGCACTTGACATCGTTACGTATGATTAATATTTATGATTAACTTAAATTGCGTGCTATTCAACAACGAGTAATGTTGTGTCACAGGTATATTATTTGTAACATGATTGTTTATATCGGTTAAAAAAATATTAGTAAAATATGGTAAAAGAAAACGCAGTAATAAGAAAGTAAAATTATGAATGATTGTGAATGATCTAAAGATTCTAAAGACACAAAAACTGCCATTAAAATTAAAACAGAGTATTTTATATAAAGTAGAGACCAAGGAACAAGAATAAAATTGGTTTTTTAAATATTTGAATGCATATATGTAACACCTGTGTGTCATAAGATACGTAATAAAATTATGTTATCAAAAGATTTATGTTACCAAAAAATTTAAAGATTTATTAAAGTATTAAAAGATTTAATAAGTAATTTCACTTTTTTATTATTTATGTATTCTTTTCATATGGATTTTATATTAATCAGGAATTGTCAGGAAAAATGTGTATAAATTAAAATATATTCGTATATCCGATGGCAGTTAATAAACGAAAGAAACAAAATACTATGATCTTGTACTTTTGACTCGAAAGAAATAACATATGGCGCTCGGGACGTTGTCATTAAACTCCGTAAATTAGTTCGTGGATTCCCGGATGACGTCAAAATCGCGGCATGCAAGGACACGCCAACAGAATGCATCTTTTGGATTCTTTTACACTCCACTCGTAGAATCAATGACTACCTAAACCGGATTTATGCAGATTATTTGTTTATGTATATATATCGTGAACGATGGGTGACAAACGATTCAACGATTTTGGGATTTTCGGTGAATTAATCTTTAGCGAGTTAAAAGTGTGTATAAATAACATACCATTTTTTTATTTCACATTTAACTTCTCATTGTGTGTGTGGATAGGTGGTTTAACAAAATTTCTATTTCAAGCTAATTGCTTTTAAAAGATATATTATTAAATATTCGTTAAATAAAACAATGTTCTAAGTTATTTAAGAAATATGCAGGTGAAAGGGAGAAAGAAAGAAGGTAATTTGGATATATTCTGTACAAGGAATAAATAGGAAAATATACGAGTAAAATGTACATATATACGAGTAAAGAGTTTTCATAGAAAAAAATATTAACTTATTTTCTTTAGACGTTTTATAACATACTTTCACAGTATAAGAAATTATTTGTTAATTAAATAAAGATCAACCTCAATTTAATTAACAACAATCTTATTTTTTATCGCTATAGTCAACTGTCGGCACAAAAGGTGATACATTTAATAAGTAACATATCAATCAAAGTTGATTTGCAATTGAATTGACATTCCTCCATAATTTTCGTTTCGGCGCTGAATTCTGAATGTAAATCCGAATTTGTGATCTTTACAGCATTTGGCAAACATAAATAATCGATCGAAAGATGCTTACGGTAGTCTAGACTCATTTAAAATAGGCGGAATGTCTTAGCTGGTTATTAAAATGCAAACGATTTGGACGCATTTTAGAAATATAAATTATATGAGTTGGAAATTAGGGGTGACGAGTGGCTCCTGTATTTTACATAAAACATTTTAGTATCGGCAACTTTGAAGATAGTTTTTTTTAGAAAAAATATTGAAAGAATGTAATTTCATTTTCCTTATTGCTATATTTTATACACAGTTATCCCGAATTCGACCAAAACTAATTTTTAAGAACCGGTTAGCTGATATAAATAAAGTAAATAAACAGTCGAAAGATATCTTGCCATAGTATCTTTTTCTCTGGACTTGTTTGAAATAGTTTTAATTAATATTTTATCAAAATATAGATTTCTTTTTCTAGAAACCCTATTTAATAATTTAGCAAATAATAAATTTAATTTTCCATTATTATTTAAATTATAAAAGAATGTTTCTAAGTTAATATTACGAAAAGATTATCACAAAATTATCAATTTTCAAATAATTAAAAGTAAGGAACTGTTGATAAATTACATTTCTGGGTCTAAATAAATAAATAAAAATTAACAACTCACGACCAATATATAATTAATTGATATCAATAAATTATTAATTGATATAAATGTATAATACGCTTAATACAATTAAAAAGACAAAATACTTATGTTAGTAAAATTTATTAAGAAATAAAACATAAAAATTTTATTTACTTAAATTTAAGTTTTAGCGTCTTATTTTAGGTCGCTATTGAAATATCGAGCTCTAACATGTTAATACAGCTTTTATACGTGAGACAGATTTTACTTTTGTCGGTTATTGCAATAAAACGAGAACGTTTTAATTAAAAATAAATATTGTAACGTTACGAACCCGGATTTTTGTGACGCTGAGAAGAAAGAATGTCTGGCAACTCTCGAACGCTTATAATGGATGATCCAAATTTACATGTGACATTTATCAAGGCCGGCGCCAGCGACAAATTTTTTGCGTAGACAAAATGGTTCTCGCTTATTCAGAGAAAGAACGATCGAGATCTGCGATATAAATTTCTTCTGGACATTTCTTCGTGAAGATTTATGCCTAGCTGTCTCATCTATCGTAAATTTTATATTATTTACCGATAGGATTTGAAGAAAATAAAGATATATGTAGCGTATTGGTCTAGCAATCCAATTTTTAGTGAGAAGATAAACTGCAAAAAATATTGCAAGTAAAATATTATCTAATTTAATTAGTAAATTAGTTGGTCATGAAATAAAAAAAATCGAAGAAAATATGAAAAAAAACTCCGATATTCTTTATTTTTTAACTTTTATTAAAAGAAGTGAATTAAAGAATTATAAAGAAAATAAAACATTAAAAATTGAAATAATTGTGAAATTAGGTCTATCTTGCTCTAATAAGATGGAAAATTTATGTAAAAAATTAAGAATCGAATATTAATATTATTGTGCAATGTACTGAAAAATGGACTTCATCGAGAGCTTCAGTAAACACTTTGAACCAACGATTTCCGGGTAGGAGAGACAGACGAGTGTTCGTGAATTGCATAAATCGGCAACCGTTTTTTATTTCGACACCGGAAACAGGCCCCCTGCTCGCCCTCTCGTAGTTTGTTGCAAGCGCGAGATGTATAATCGTTTGTAGCGATTGCGTAATCGCGAGCGCCAGGCCCGGCCGCAGTCAGGCGAAATCGCCGAAAATTCCACGTTTCGTTCGTACACCGGTTATTACACGCACGTTCCTCGCGTCACCTCGATGTATGTACATATACGTGTATACGCATTCTCTGCATCGAATGCACACGACTTGCATTATACAAGTTCCGTGACATTACTTTCGCATCCTTAAGGCTCAAGCCGCAACCTTTATCAAAATTCGAACATTGTTGCGGCGTTTATTGCCATATTCTCGAATTTATTAAATGTCTCAGAAAAATACAAATTAAATATTTTATTTATTCATTTTGTGATTAATAAATATTAAATATTTACTATGTTGTAAATAACAAAAATAAAAATGAAAAAATTGAACTTTGCAATAAAATTAATATTTAGCAGGCATTTCCTGCGCATAGCTTTAATATTCATTTAACATTTTAAATTATATGATATAAATTGATTTTTTAATGTAAATGACAAAAGTATGGTGATTATATTAGGAAATACATGTCAGTAATTTATAAAAGTCAAAGAATTGTGCGTGTAGAAAATAAAGTTATCAAATATATTAACTACGTAAGTATGGCATGAAGCATCAAGTGTCTCGTTATTGTTGTGCAAATTGATGTAATCAAGAAATCATTATGTAGGCGGAGCGCTTCACGGTGTCCAAGAAAGAAAGTCAATTTCGTGTCTTTGAGCTTGTTCTTGTCTTCTTTGTTCCCTATCTTCTTTGTATCATTCATTGTCAATTGTGTCTGATTATCGCGGTTATAGACAATTTTGTCATACCTTGTATTAACTTACGTAAAAGTGCAAAAATTATTGTATTTTTATTTTTCATTTATTTTTGCATCAGTTACTAGAGAAAATAATTAATGATAAAATTCAGAATATTAAACAATTAATTAATATTTTGTTTAAGTAAATTAATATAATTGCATTAAAATAATTAGTAATTACATAATTATAATTATTAGTTATATAAATTATTAAGTTATCAAATAGAAAAAAAATATCTTAAAATAAAAATTAATATTATTTTGTCTAAATATTCATTATTGTTAACTCATTTATGTAGATATTAATATAATTCTAAAACTCAAAAATAAAATATTATTTGCATACACGCTTTCAAAATTGATACTTATTTGATATTTATTTTTCAATTGCATTGTCTTTCATATAATTCTTTATTATTGCAGATATTGGTTGGATTATCCGATTATTAGAATAAAAAGATTATCTGCCTGTTTTATTCAACTTGTCACATCTCTCGGTAATTGTAATTATTGAAAATTTTTAATTTTATTTGTATTTTAAGAATGTTCAATTTTAATTTAATTTTTTCTTGTCCTTTCGATTGGAACGCTTCTGCAAAATGTATAAGCATAATAATGTGTGGTCGACCTTCATCAAGGGAAACGTTAAAGTTACGCACGAATATATATATATAGAAATAGATATATATATATATATATATCATAATCCTACACATAGTATGAATAATAGAATTTTTATACGTAATGTAGGTGGAAACGTTACGTGAAAAATTATATCTTGATTTCGTTTACATTCCGCAGCTGCTTTGAAAATTTATGCAAATCTTATGCAACAAGCATAATTTAATTATAAAAAATATATGTATGCTTTCCCTTTATCTCGAAATAAGTATCTGAAGTATTTTATGTGTTTATTCACATTCCTTTATTTGCCTCGTTCTCGGTTGCATATTTGCATTCTTACTTTGACTCTCGCTTTCTAAAGTTTTCCGCAAACGAAGACATGTTAACGATCATCGGATACTTGAGAAAATAATTTATTGTTTAATTACCTTTTTTATACTTTTATTGTTCCAACACTTTTTATATGATATTTTTGAATTTATCCAAGTTTATTACAGAAAATTTAAAAAATCTACCAAATTAAGATATCCGTGGTTCAATGCTCGAAGATGCTTGATTGAAATAGATATAAAAATTTAAACTTTACTGGCAAAAAAATATCTTATCATATGGAAGAGAGAGAGGAAGAGGGAGAAAGCAAAATGGTTGCTCAATCATCATCGGTTAAAATGACGTTCGCATTTCGATAAAAAAACAAATCAGTAAAAGGTATCATGTGACAGATGGTAGTTAGTACCTGTCATAAAATATAAAAATATTGTTTTTTTATAATTGATATTTTTTTCCATGTTTGCATATGCTTAAAATTTTACGTAAATTTTATTTAACGTTTTTAGTTAAAAACTTGTATAAAAGAAATTTTATGTAACAATCTTCTATCAATGTTTTACAGAAATTGAATTATAATTATTCTTAAAATAAATATTATTTTTATTATTATTATAAATTTTATTTTTATTATTTTAGTAAGTTTAGTAAAAAAATAAAATAAATCTAAAATAATATAATTTTACATAAGGCTAAAAATATTGAAAGAATTTAAAAAAGAGATTATAATTAAAATTAAAAGTCATCTAAAATTGTTTTAAATAAATAACAATTCCGTGAGAACGCTTTTAAGGTATAATATGACATTACTGTTTGTTTAATTTTCGGTTATAATATTTAATACTGCAATATTTTAAACAAGTCATTTATTATCTTCAGGCAAAGAACCTCCGGGCGTTGGCCAATTTCCCTAAATCTGCCATTCATTTCGCTCTATTCCGTAATCAAGGTGAACCACTAATGTCAGACCGTGAAAAATAAAAACACGTATTGCCGAAATTTCGTGTAGCAATTTCACAGACAAACCTTGTTGCAAGATACTACTTTATTTCATCGTGCCTATATAAACTGCCTAAGGGCATTATTTCTCACGTTTCTCGCTTAGAAACAGATCGAGAAAGTGTGAAAGGCGAATATACTTGAGTGAAGTATAAAACGAAGTAGCGAAGCTCTGTCGAAACAACAAATCAATAATTGCAAAAGCGAACCGAAGATATTAGAAACAAACAGGGTGTGTCCGTGTGTCCCAAAAATAGCTTAGATTTCTAGATGGCTTCCTAGATTTCTACCAAATCGTTTAATTTATTTCTAAATATATAATGTTTAATATAGCATATCACTCAAAATTAAACATAAACTTGAAATTACAATAATAAAAATAATATTCATTAATTTATAAAAATGTAAAATTGTGCAACATATAAAAAAATAATATCTATTAATTTGATAAGTAAAAAAGTACGAAATTCATATCTATTAACAAATTGGCAGAATAATATGCTTCTTCTATTAATTTTTTTTAAATTTTTCTACTAAAAAGAAATAAATTTTAGAAATATTCAAAAGAATGTATCTTTGGCATAATAAATGAGTTATGAGTGCAAAAGGAAAAGAAGAAGTCGGTTGTTTCTTTACGAAAACATTTACAAAATCGATTTATTCCGTGAATTTAAAATACTACACGACGAGAGAAGCGTCTCTTGAACGGACGCTCGTCGTGATGGATTTTGCGATGCTGGGAAAAGGGTTAAGATGGAGCGGGGTGTATGTGACTTTTTTGAGGAGAATTTCATCTAGTAGTGGCCGTAGCCCTTAACGAGAACGGGAACCGTTTCTTTGACGACGACCGGATGCGGAACCGCAACTGGAACTGCGTGAGGGACCGCGACTGGAACTGGAACTGGGTGGGAGACAGCAACCTAAAAGACAAAATATTGATATTAATTGAAAATATGAAATAATTTCGGTTCTTATTATATAAATAGCTACTTTTCAAACGTTTGTTATATAACTATTGGCTATTTTTCACATTAAATGTAATTATTAAAATACAATATCTAAAATTATGATGCTAAAGTTTGTAATGTAATTAATGTAATTAATTAAATAATGGAAATAATACGAGTAATACGGATAAATAGCCAAATATATAAAATATATAAAAAGCCAATATAATTTGCTAGTTTGCATCATTACATATCTATTATTATTGTACAGCTGAAAAACAGAATACGTGATAATATGTAGATTAAATAATTGTGGCCAACATGTTTGCGTTAATTACATCGATCGAGCATATTTTAATCGTCAATTGCAATCATCGACCTATGACTTCAAGTATAATTTTAGTTTAATTACAACACAGCTGTAAAGTTATGTCCAACCAGCGCGGCGGTTGCTTGCACCTCTCTTGCGTACGTTCACCTAATCGCGTAACGCGCAAATAAATGACCAAAACCGTGATTCTTATCGCAACATATTGAATCACCAATTAATCAACGTAGACGATAAATTAGCTATACTGGAAACCGAGGGTACACAACGAAACTGTTAATAATCACGTCTCGAAATCGATTTCTACTTGTTGCGCTAAACAGGCAAAGAATTATAATGAGACAACACATTATAATAAGCTGATGAATATGTTATTGGGATGGAATAATTAAAATTTATCAGAACGTTAAAATTACATTAAAATATTAAGAGGCAACATTTCTTATCTAGAAACTACGATATAGATCCTGATGCGAAATTTGTGGCTTCTAAAATTAGAATTCTTTGTCTGTCAAATCGGATTAATTTATTTTCTAATCTTTCGTCGAAATTGAAAGATTTTGGAAATGTCACGGCCAATGGAAGATTAGAATTTGTTATAATTTACCTTGACGGGGTATGGGGCAGGCACGGGCACTGGCACCTTAACGGGGACCGTGACTGGGTAAGGCTTCTCTACGGGAACCGTGATCGTCTTGGTCTGGACCACGGGGTAGGGCTGTGGCACGGGAACGGCTACTGGAACTGGGTGCGGGACGGCAACCGGAACCTAAAGATAACAAAGAATTTTATTATATGTTGAAACGAATTAAGGGAAGTTGCCTCACAGTACCAAACAGTCCCCAGTACCGAATAATATGATATTTGCATATTTCTACTGTAGATGTGTGCAAATATTATATTGTCCGGTACTGGGGCAACTTTCTCTACATAACATTTATTTACTCTTCAGTTTTCCTCATTCAAATATTTAATACAATTTTTTACTTGATTATTTTAACTTTATATTTAATCGAAATTAATAAAAAATATAAACACCAAGTTAAAATTTAGACTCTAATTAATTAATTCAATATTTATTTAAAATGCAACATTAAAAATTTATGTTATATAAAATTTTACTTCGTAAATTTTCTGTTTAAATTATATAATCATCAAATTTTTATGAAAGATTTTTTATTGTTATTATTTGTCGCGACACCATCGTCAAAAATTAAACTGATTAATTCGTACCTTAACGGGGTACGGGCGATCGACGGGAACCGCAAATGGCTGCGGAACCGCGTAGGGAACAGCGACGGCCTTCTCTTTGACGGCAATGGCAACACTGTGGCCACCATATCCACCATCCAATCCACTAAGGCCACTAAGACCACCAAGGCTACCATATCCACCAAGACCACCATAACCACCAAGACTACCACCAAGTCCGTAGTCACCTAGGCCGATCAGGCCACGCTTCTTGACCGTCTTCTCTTCAGCGGCGAACGCCGCAGAGATCAGCACCAGGCAGATCTGCAAAATCAAGAAAGGAACGTTAATAAAAAATCTCTAAAGATCTGTGAATGGGTCGATCAAGAAATCTATAAAAGTTAATATTAACTCAAATATTAACTCAAACGGATAATTAAAAACTATCGCAATTCTTAATTTTCAAAATCAAGAACAACATGTCATTAAAAGATTCTTGAGTAAAAATCTAAATAATAAATGGATGAATAAATTTATCGAAATCTTTAAAAGTAACTATTATTGAGATATCTATCCAATGTAAAATTAATTATCTATAGCCACTTAAATTAGCAAACTTGAGAGAATTACTCGAGACATTGAATAATGTGCGAAATCGTGAATTATAAAGTGTAAATATGATTAATAATACCATCTAGTTTAATCATTGTTGGACCAAATAACTGTAAACAAATCGATCTGCGAAACAATTAATGAATTTGATAAAGATGACAAATTATCACAATCGAGACTATCGATTCAAAAGTTGGAAGGTCTTCGCACGGGATTTAAACTGCACACAAATAATAGGTTTTTCCAATTTTCAATTTTCATTTATGCTTTCCAATTTTGCAAAAAGAAACACTGTGACAAAGCACGGAAAGCGCAGAAAAATTAGATCGGCTCCTAAACTTCGATCTGATTAAGCATTATGTCCGAACGGAAATGTTCTCGGCGGAATCAAACGGATCTCAGCACTGCTTCTTTAACTTTGCTCGAAGATGTGACAGCACGTACCAGGGCCCTCATGTTGAATGATACTTTGGCGTGATACTCGCGCGTGAGTAAAATAGATCGGTTTCTGTCGTTGTCGGGCTGGAAAACCACCCTTTATATAGGAAATTGACTTTCATTTCGCGCACCCTGCGCCCCGCCAGTGGCGAGGGAAGCCAACGGCCGGTCTATCGCCACACCTACCTAGAGCCTAACACTATTTACCCACGATATACTGCACACAGATATGCGTATGTTATAACACATAATGTGCAACGATTGTATAACATGCTAAACGTGCGCGAGCCACCAGCCGCGCCGTTAGTAAATGGAGCGCGCGCTTGGCCACCACTTTATGCAGATATGCGTGCGTATGTGAGCGCATTTCGATGCCACAACCTTAACGAGATCATTTTTCCACCCGTCGAGAGATCTACCTCAATCGTGATGTCACACGCGTCATTGAAAAGTCGCAGGAAACTCGTTAGCAATCAGCGTTACAAGTTACAACAGTTCTTTTCCTCGCGTACGTGTCGTTCGAGTTCTTCGTTACGAAATTAAATGGAATTCGATTAGACTGTTGTTTACATTGTTGTTTATAAGATGTCGTATTTTAAAGTATATCTTCAAACGTACATATCTTGCAATTACTATAGGATATCTTTTATTTACCTTTAAAAGATTGAACGCGGTTTTTTTCAACAGAAATTAAAGTCGAGACGTAATTTAATTAAATAATTAAAATTAATTTTATATATATATATATAGAGATAGAGATATAGGTATATTGCACATAGTTCTAATCTCCCTATTATGAAATATCTTTAATTTTTATAATGCAACGCGCGATCATATATAGATACGAAGCAACGAATTTCCAACTAACGTAACGCACGCATAGCGCAGTACTAATTGTAACACGTGAATTTATTCTCGCCCGTGTCCGGCGGCTGTGTCGGTTTGCGCAAGATTGCTCAATGCTTCATTACGAGGTAAAGCAGTTAACTTGCCGCGCTAATATAAATCATGCGTTGCGAGGAACGCGCAGTGTCTTCTATTGCGGTGCACTATTATTACGTTATATGCGCGTACCATAAGAGATGCAAGTTGTCCATAAGGTAGCAATTCCGTGGGTATTATCATTGCCATCTGCGAGACTGATATATTGATTTTACGCCGGCAAAAATCACCATTAACGGCGTGAATCGTTAGCTGATTGATCTATGGCGATTTTATCCCTGTCTACCGATTGATTTATGGACAATCCCTTACTCTTGAGAAATTAATTGTTGGTTATTCTCACGTTCGCCGTAAGTCTTATTGGCGACATCTTGCATCTGCGTTTCGAAACGAGAACTTTAATCATTATTTGCGAAGGGAAATCACCTTCAACAGTCCGGGGAATAAAAGAGAAAATTATATCTTTGAATGAGCACATGGATATTTATGAGGTTTTTTGTATTTTGATAAACGGAAATTTCTTTTTACAAATACTGGATGCAATAGTACTAGAATACAGATTTATGTTTAATAAAATCAATATTTTATTAATTTATTTTCATTTTTATACAAATTTATTTTAACTTTAAAATATTTTTTTTATATGTATAGATTACGATAAATCGTATAATGAGAAATTACATTGCATTAGTCACAAGATGGCAACAGCGAATTATTAAATCACGCCATTACGACAAATAACATGTAACATTATTCCCAAGATGATATAAGGCGATTAAGTCTGTCATATTGGCACGCAGAATGGGCCTTTTATCGTTTCACTACGCCCAAACAAACGTTTCCTGGTTTAATGTTCATTTGTCTCTCTTAGAGCACACTACAAACGCCACAAGAAGTCACTTGTATATATTTTACGAGTGGCAATTTAAATCCTCGAAGTTGTTAGCGGCATTTTTATTATTACTTACTTGCTTTTATACTTTTTGTACTTTTATACTACTATTTCTTTTTTTTGCTCAATTTTTGCGATAATTTATCACTGCCTATTTTTTAACATATTATTTATTAATCTTAAATTATTATTCCTTAATTTTTAAATTGTCTAATTTTTTTCAGTGGTTTTTGTTAACTATGCTGTTACTATAATATTACGATGAAAATCGAATTTACATGCAGTTTGACATTAATAATAGGCACTTTAAATTAATTTTTAAAAGCGCGTCTTTAAATATACTGCGCACAACTTATTATCATCGATATAATTAAATGCTAATAAATTTAGTATAAGTTATTTCACCATGACATCCGTTCTCCGATTGTCCAGAATAATTATATTCTACTATTTCTTGCCCAAAGCAAGGTTAATTTACACGTACTATTGCGTGACAACGGAATAATGATAGGGATATTGAACACGCTATTCGGGAAAGGTTCGGTTTTGCGGTCTCCTACGATTAACTTAGCACGTGCTTAGTTTGTGCTCATGAGATCTGTAAATAAGTGCAATTTGTAGTGGAATGTAACGGTCACACAATCACTTGCTTGTCCGGCTTGGGTGTCTTTGATCGGCGCGTAGTTAATTCGCTAATCTACTGCTAATTTTGATTGATCTTATTATCTGGTGCTCGCCTAAGATTGATATTGATTAATGCTTATCGTAGTATAATAGTTAGGTAACTGAATTGTCTATTAAGATGTGTATCTATGCTATTATGTACCTGTATTATTAGAAACTCGAATGAAATAAAAGAGTTTGATTATGTATTTTATTATTAGTATCTCATAAATTTAATTGTTTGTTATCAAGATTAATTAAAAATTATTCTATTAATTATTTATTATTCTTTATTAAAGAATGTTCATAAAATTATTGTCCATTATTTGCAATTTTGTTACAAGTTTTGGATTAATGGTTCGCTATAATGTACAAAATATGTTAAACATCAGGGTAATAGGGACTGGTTTGATAAGCCTAGTTGCGCTATTACTTACATATCACCATGTTTTTATATCAAATAACGATTACGATAAGTATACATAAGTATCGATTTATACACTTATCGTTAAGAAAATGATTGGTTTCTTTGCAGAAAAGTAAATAGATGTAAAAACTGGCGTATAATATTTTGTAAAAAAGAAAAATCCGTTATTTTACGGTATCGACTTAACTTTCAAGGATATTCGATATTTTTATAAACTCCGCATTATTCATGAGATGTTTTATTACAAATCATTATATTCATTGCGCTATTATTTCACTCTGCATCGAACATCGATCTTTTGTAGTTTTAACCTTGGAACAAAATAATAAAATAATTATATTATATTAAAAAAATTTGTAATAAATTTGAGTTGATATTAAACTTGCAATAATTTAAGCAATTGTGCAAGCCAGGGAAAAGAAAAAGAAAGAAACTGTGGATAAAGAATCGATGTAAAAATACGGTGACGTCATTTCTTGAGAAAAGCGGGAAGGCGACTTAAGCCAGTTTTATTTGTAGATTTAATTTAATACAAAAAATTTATTATTTTGTAGAGATCGGGGCCGTTTTATAATACTTACATTTTAAGAACGATAGAACAGATATAAAAACAAAAATAAAAAATGCATCAAAAAAATTGTATTATTATTGGAATTACAAGTAGAAGAGATAACATAGTTAAAAAATCTGAGCAAAATAAGGAAGAAATGATCAAAGTCTCATAAGTCGAAAATTTAACGGAATACCAAAATGAGTAACTCAAAAATTTAAATGTTTACGTTAGGCTCCATTGGGTCGAGTATTTCGAATTAGATAGTTTTTCGAATAATCATTTGAGATCTTATATTCTAGGCTACATTGATCAAATAAGTCAGTTTTCACAGATTATCGCACTGTAGGCCTTGTACCGACGACACGTCGGATGTAAATTGCATCAACCAGCTTTTCTCGCGCGGAACCGCCCGTGCGTGAAACCAGAATCGGGCGGTTTTTCGACACGCTCGAACTCGCATTTATGTCTAACGTGGAAACGGTATAATCGATCGACGAATATCATAGACAAACGTCGAAGAGCGGTCGCGAACCTGGGTGACACACCTCCGAGCATTATTTCCGTCCGGCCAGAAGGCTGGTTCTCGATCTCGATATCACGTTACGCAATCGCGCGTACCGCCTCGGCAACGCCTTGCTGCGTAACGTCATAGCCGAGAAAATAAATAAGTTATCTTTACGCTGCGGAGAATGGAAACCGGCGACAACGGCGAATAGGTTCAATAACTCGCGAATACATAATAACTAATATATACATATATAATATTTATGAGAGAAATAACAGATTTTAAACTGTCAAGTTTCGCGACAAGTTTCGCGACGTCATTTGCGGAAAAAAAATGTGTTGACATTTAACATATTATTTATGTATTGTATTAAGCTAAGAGTTGAATGATTGGGTTCTAAAATATTAATTAAATAAGAAATTAAGTAATGAAAAATTATTTGTGATATACATCGTTATTAACTATTTATTTTTTAATCTTTCACAGTTTTTATTTATTTATTTTAATTTATTATCAATTTAATTTACATATCTTTTTCTTTAATTTAATATAATTAATAGGAATTAATTTTCATGTCCGTTATATTAGTTAGATAGAACTTTGAATAATGTTTTATATTGTAATTCCTCAAGTTTTACATCAGGCATCGGTAATAAAGACTCACTGTGCAAAGATCACAATTATAGTCTTTTACAACCACTTGATACAAAGTCATTACGACGTTTGCGTTTACAATTTTTATTGTAATCGATTCCTCTTTGCTTCACGCTTCTTGGTCAGGATTGAGTCGATATCATGGCGCGAAATCGGCGAAACGATACTACAACAACGTACGTACACGCGCGCGCATTACAAAAATCAAACAGGCAGGCAGGCAGGCAGGCAGGCGTGTTGCAGAACACGAACGTCATTGCTTGCTCGCTCAAGCTTCAAGAAGAATTTGCCTTAGCGATAATTATGAGTCACACGCGACAGACTCGCGGGAGATTTTGTAATGATAAACATGTCACTGGTAATAGCCACTTCTCGCGCGGCCAGGCTGCACAAGAACGGCCGACAATGAGTCCTGCTG